CAAAAATTGTATAAGCATATCTTGAATAAAATCGCTAACGATTTCTTTCAGATTTCGACTGTACCTATTTTTCAACACTTCCTCTCGAAGATTAATACTAAGTATAAAAATGAAAGAGAGAAACTTTTAACAAAAGCTCGATCAAATTCAATTTTAACTTTAAAATCGACATTTTCAATTCTTATATAGTTTTAAAAATCGAAAATCTTATATATTCTTGAGGCTGTTTAAATTATTAACATATATTTCATAATTACCTTTATATTGTCTTTCTTCAATTATTCGTTTTTTTTTTTTTCTTTTTTTGAATTGTGCGTGTTCATTTATACAAAAAACTAATAATTCAGTAAAATATGATTAAATTATGGTTAGGAAATTATAACAAGAATTTTCTGTGAATATTAACGAACAATATATAAAATATACTTTTATTATAAAATATATATAATTAATACTATAAATATTGTACAATATATTTCCCATAAAATATATTATAAAATATAATTTTTTAATAATAGATTTAGAATCACAAACCATATGAACTGTGTTTACTTTTGCCAACTTTCGATTAAATGATTGAATAAAAATAAGGCGCATTTACATTAAGTTGAACAATTGAGTTGATAATGATGAAAAACGAAAAATCATCGAAAATTTTATAATTATTTTATATTATTAAATCTTTTAATTATCTCTTATTTAAATTTGAAAAAAAAAAATAAAATTCAATGCAATATTAAAAGTAATTAAAAAACTCAAATTATCCGCGGAAATATATTTTCCTATAAAATTTATGATAAATCAATTTTCAAGATTCATCAATTTTAAAATTAATTTAAAAAGAATGGTTAATCGAATTGAAATTTTAATTATTCTTTTTTTTTTATACAATAACTATCAAGTTTATTTGCATATATTTATATTCTTGAAAATATAAATCTATATATAAATTTATATATATAATTTTATTATACATTTATTTATTATAAAAATAAATATCTCGGTTTTTTATCTTCTTATTTTTCTGGCAAATGTTATCAATTCTATAATAGATAAGAAAATGTTATTTATTATATATATTATGCAACATTTTTTTATTTTGCAATTAATTTATTAATTTACTATCTAAATTTTGTTATAAAAAATAATAATACTTTTTAAAATTTAACTTTGTTGTAAAAAAATATTTATTTGAAATATTCATACAAAATAGAAAAATTGATAATGAATTTATTTCATAACTTTATTTTTTTTTCACTTCATTTAATTCAAATTCTCTTATTTATAATATAACAAATAAATATCAACTGATGCTTTTGCATCTTTTGCATTTCTTTTGGAAAACTTTTATTAAATCGATTTTTCTCGATCAAATTTGTTTTACGTATTAATATTTAATACTTTGTGGTCCGTATATAAAAATGCTGATCAACAATTGGCAGAGCAACGGCCCAGTAAGATTTACACTCTCCCCACTCCACTTCTTAGTAACTTTACTCTGAGCACTAGCATATAGCCATCCGTGAGCACACAACGCCAGGTTGAATGGTTATAAAAGAAGAGAAAATTTACTCTGCGTAGTCAGTGTGTTGTATGATAGGAAGATGCATCGTTGGCGTGGAAAAGTAGCGATCGTGACCGGAGCGAGTGCTGGTATCGGTGCAGCGATAGCGAAAGCATTGCCAAGCCACGATATCAAAGTGGTCGGTCTGGCGAGAAATATAGAGAAACTGGAAAAACTTGCGGACGAATTAGGAAGAGATAAATTTTTCCCAATTAAATGTGACGTTACAAAAGAAGAAGATATTTTGAAAGCATGCAAATGGGTCGAAAAAGAATTGGGAGGTGCTGATATTTTAATAAACAATGCTGGCGTCGCCCAATTAAATGCTTTGATTGGTAATTATCAATTTATAGTTGATTTACAATGTATTCTCAAATATGATATAACTATACTTTTTTACTTTTTTTTTAAATATATATATTTATATTTTAAAGAAGTTGATTTCTGAAGAAACAATCTATATGCATATAATCTATACATAAATTTTATGTGCGATTTATATGCATTATGGAAAATAAAATATCATAGTTATTTTTTAAATAAAGCTATTACATTTTGCAAAATTGATTAAATAAAAATATGAAATGGATCTATTTTAGATGAATAAAGTATAGATCTTATTTTCAGAATTTATTAGAGAGATTTTATAATTAAATGATAGTTTATTTAAGTTCAGTTAAGTGATAGTAATAAATAAATGATAGCGATCATATAAGAAAATGATATAATCTCTTCCTTTATAAATAAATGAGCAATCATATTATATAGATTACGAAAGATTTAAATACATACAATAATAAATAAATATAATACACAAAAATTTTTAATATTATTACAAATTTATTAAATTTTATCCATAATAGCGTATACATCGCTTATAATTTATAAATCACACTATATTTTTATTATATCTTCTATAATTATTTTATTGATTTAAATTATTATTATTATTAATATTAATTTATAATTTATTATTATTTAATTATATAATAATGTTTATATATTATTTTTTTTTAAATAATCTCATCAAAAAAAGAAGAATCATCATGTTGCATAATAATGTAATAATTGTTGTACTATATTTTTTTCTTTGATTACATGTTTTTAGACAACTGTTTCAGATATTCTTTTCTATGTACAACCTGTTGCTTCGAAGTATTTCATAATATATAATTTCTCTCTTTTGTTATTTTATTGATTCATTTATTTTTTTTAAATAACAAATCAAGATGTTCTTTTTAATATGACTTACCAAATACTATGTTATAACTTTATGTTATAAAATTATTTAGTTTTTTTTTATAAATTTATATAACAACAGAATCTCAAGCCTCCAATTTTAATACATGATTGACTTTCACTATTTTTTAACCTAAACTTTATCCAAAAGAATATACGAATTAAAAAATAAAATGTCGAATAAAATTCGAAAAATTATCTATCAATTTAAAATTTATCTTTTCATAAATATTTTTTAATGATTATACTAAATATTATACTTATTATAAAACAGTCCGTATGTGAGTACATTCATTTTCCTTAACTCGAAGGAAGGAACTTTCATTGAAGTTGTTTTGTAGTGGTTATCGACCGTAATTGCCATGGCCTTCATTTTTATCTACCAGTTGCACTTGCATATGTATTAACGTATGCGAATTTTTATTTATATGTTTTATTTATTTATTTATTTTATTTATTTAAAATTTCTATTATATTTAATTATAAATGAATAATTCAATGACAATATATAATTTAATTTAATAAAGAAGAAATATTTAAAAAAAAATTTTCAAAGAAATTTATAATTATTATATTTGTATTTTTTTTACAATAATATATACATGATGCTTTTTTTTATAATATGTAAATGATATGTAAATATAATAAAAAAATAATTTTTTATATGGAATTTAATTTTAGATCAAAAAACTGAAGATTATCGTAACGTCTTGGATACTAATTTATTGGCACCGGCAATTTTTTCACGAGAAGTAATATTGTCTATTAAGAAACGAAATGCACAAGGGCATATAATCAATATATCTAGGTCAGTAATCTTTTCACTGTTTGATCGAATTTCGAGTTTATTTTATGACATTCTTAAGCGAAACTTAAACTCTATCATCAGTTAATCATTATAAAAATTATACTTATTTATTAAATCTTCATTCATAATACTTATTTGATTTTAAATCAAATGTAAATGAAGCTTCAAATTCATTACTATAGACATTATTGATTAATTTATATGATAAATAGTAAGTTTAGATGATAAATAGTAAAACTGGAAAGTACAATCATATATATTGCACATAAATCGTGATATTTCAATCATATAAAAAAATGTATTGTTTGATTATACTTTCCACTTATCGTTTTTACTTTTTTTTTATATATATAAATTAAATATTAGTCAACAATCTTTATAATAATAAATTTTAATTTCACTTACATTTGTATTGACTTATAGTATATCTGAATCTCATCTCGATGCCATTCTTATACCATTGGGCATGTATGGCGCGTCTAAAAGTGGTCTACGCAGTTTAGGCTCGGAACTTCGAAATGAAATCATTGTGAAAGAACTGGATATTAAAGTCACGGTAAGAAATTGTGATTTATCTACATCAACGACAATCGATTTGATTTGATTTAGTATGTGCTTCTTGGATACTTTCAGATATAAACATGTATATAACTATCATTATAGAATAATTGCGGAACAATTTTTTATCGAAAAATATTTGTTGCCAAAAATTTTTTACTATTATGATTTATTTTCTGCCATTAGAATTTTTCAGTGAAATTTTTAAATTCTTGTTTAAAATTTATTTCAATATTGAGATTGAGAACCGATTATTTTACTCATTAATTTACTAATCGGTATTTAAAAACAAGAATTATTTTGGAACAATTAAAAAAAAAATCAATTAAGATAAGATATTACTTTGAAACATAAATACAATTCTGAAATCCAATCATCAATTTTCCGTATTTAAAAACAAAAATCATTTTGGAACAATTAAAAAAAAATCGATTAGGATAAGATACTACTTTGAAACGTAAATACAATTCTGAACGTCGAATCCAATCATCAGTTTTCGGTATTTAAAAACAAGAATCATTTTAAGAACAATTAAAAAAAAAAATCAATTAAGATAAGATATTACTTTGAAACATAAATACAATTCTGAACATTGAATCCAATCATCAGTTTTCAGTATTTAAAAACAAGAATCATTTTGGAACAATTAAAAAAAATCGATTAAAATAAGATACTATTTTGAAACGTTAATACAATTCTGAACGTCGAATCCAATTATTAATTTTCGTTCGATTAACGAATTTGCAACGAATTTGTTTTTGTTATAATATCATTTATTCATCACAAACATTTGTATTAAATTTTTATATTTCTAATATGATTATAATATATTTTATATTTCAGAATATTGCACCAGGAACAGTAATAACGGATATGTTGACAAATGCGGTTGGATCTAATGTTAATATTCCAAGTACTATTTTATTACCTGAAGATATCGCGGATGCAGTAGTTTATGCATTAGGAACACCAATAAGAATAGAAGTAAGTGGAATAAATTATATAAAATTTCAATAAAACTGAATATAATAATTTTGAAACATTTTTGTAAATATAACAAAAATATCTGTAATTTTTGCTTATACTTTTATTTTAATTTTGTTTATTCTGTTTTATTCTGTAATTTTAATTTGATTAAAATTTTTTTCTATCAAATAAGAAATAATATTAATTTTTTCTTTTTATCTGCAATTGCTCTATTTTTGAAAAGAATTAATAAAATTGATATTTTATCAATTAATAAAGATTAAATAATTGTTAAAAATATAAGAACTAATTATAAAAAATGGGAATTTTTCTTCATTTATATTTTAGATTATGTGTGAAATATAAATGTTGAATTATAAATAATTTATATAGTTTATTCTTCTCTTGACAATTTATATAAATTGTTGAATTTTAATTTTTTTTTTAATAATTGAACATAAATTGTCTGATTATAAATATACAGAAAAATATAAAGATATAATATGAATGTGAATTTTATTAATAATAATATTAATTATTTAATTTTATTAATTAATGATAATCTTAATAGACAAATAATATTTACAGATTCCACAAATCACGATAATACCACACAATGAATCATTCATTCCGAAATTTGCATTACAAGTAAGTATATGTCTTTTAAATTTTTTTAAAATCGTTGAACATATATAATTAATGAAAATAAATCTAATTTTGATTTTTCCAGATTCTGTCAAATATCTCAAATAAATACAAAGAAGAAAATAAATAATTTAATCATATTGAAGAAAAGAATATTAACATATGAAAGAATAATGACATTATACAATAATATATATTGAAAAATGTAAATAAATAAAAACACGATTTGATTTATAATAGATTGCTTGTAACTTTTTTTGATTGAAATTTTATTTGTATGTATTTTAACGAATAAACTTATTAATTAAGTCAAAAAATTATATGTATCATTAAATGAATGATGCAAGATTTGTTTTCGATAATAATATTTATTTCCATTTTTGCAATTGTAACATACATAACATATTTAATCTATGTAAAATGTTTGTATGTAATGTAAATAAAATCACATGATTAAAATCTAAAGAAATTAGGGTTGAAATTATAATTCTATAAATATAACTGAGAAAAATACTTTTATATATATTAATTATATTATATTAATATTTCATTCACAAAAAATTGATTTTATCTTTTGATTAATTAATCATTAGATAAAACGATAAAACGATTATAACTTTTTATCCAATCTTTCTATTCAAAATCTAATTTAAAGCTTTTCTCTTTTATTTTCTTTTCAAATATATCATTTATTATTTATTAATTAGTTATAAATTTTCAAATATCTCATTCATCATTTATCATTTATATTATATAAATTTTATATACTGATATAATCTTTTTTTTCGATTAAATTTTAAGTTATTATTTTCATTCAGTAATTTGAATTACTATTTTATTAAATAAAAATCCTTTTTATAAATTGCAAAAAAAATTGTGATTAAAATATTCTTTAATTTAATTATAATATTTTTTAATTTAATTTTAAATTAATTTTTTTTTATATAATGATGAAATAATTTTGACAATGATTTATTCGGATAAATAAATCTTGTAATAATTTAATTTTTCTAATATTATTTAATATTTAATCCTAATTATTCCTATTAACTCATTTTTTATAGAATCAAAGATTTTTTTTCAATATTAAAAAATTAAATGATTTATTAATTGTTTCTCAAAAATATATAAATCTTTTTTTCTTGTATTAAACATATAACTTAAATTTTAGTTCAAACATTTTAAATAAATGCATAATACATAAAATATATATAAAATATATAAAATGCATAAATGCATAAAAATATAATAAATATAAGAGTTTAGTATCTATGAATGAAGATGTATACACTGGTGTAAATCGGGTTGCAGAATTTGAGCATCTCTTATACGATAAGACATGTCTCGATGCATATTCTATTTCTTAATGTTAAAAATAATAAAATAATTTAAGAATCAAAAATAACGTGATCATTCTTTAATAATTTCCGAATATCTCTAAAAATTAAGGATATAGATTATCGATCCTTTTAGAAATTTTTTGAAATTTGGTTTATATAATATCAAAGATATTTCTATATAATTATAATCTTATATATTAATTATAAAAAAAATAATGAATTTTGTATCATTTTTTCTTATTCTTTAAAAAACTAACTAATTAATTGTTTAATTGTTAATTCTTTATATTATTGCAATAACGTATACAAAGAGTGTGTATATGTGTATATATATATGTGTTATATATATATATATATATATATATATATATA